TTTCAGATAATAAAGTAAAAAATCTTGGTGTTGTTTTTGATCAGGACCTGTCATTTAAATCCCACATCAAAGAGGTTTCTAGAATTTCCTTCTTTCATCTGAGGAACATTGCAAAAATTAGAAATATCCTGTCCAGGGGTGATGCTGAGAAACTAGTCCATGCATTTGTTACTTCAAGGCTGGACTATTGTAATTCTTTACTATCAGGAAGTCCACAAACTGTAGTTAAAAGCCTTCAGCTGATCCAAAATGCTGCAGCCAGAGTTCTAATGAAAATTAAAAAGAGAGATCATATCTCGCCTATCCTGGCTTCTCTTCATTGGCTTCCTGTTAAATCAAGAATAGAATTTAAAATCCTCCTTCTCACATATAAAGCCTTAAATGGCCAAGCTCCATCTTATATCAGAGATCTGATTGTTCCTTATGTTCCTAACAGAGCACTTCGCTCTCAATCTGCAGGTTTACTAGTGGTTCCTAGAATTTCTAAAAGTAGAATGGGAGGCAGATCTTTTAGTTATCAGGCTCCTCTCCTGTGGAACCAACTACCAGTTTTAGTCCGTGAGGCAGACACCCTGTCTACTTTTAAGGCTAGGCTTAAAACTTTCCTTTTTGATAAAGCTTATAGTTAGAGTGGCTCAGGTTATCCTGAGCTATCTCTATAGTTATGCTGCTATAGGCTTAGACTTTTGGAGGACATAGGGACCCCCATTTCATCATTCTGCTTCATTCTCTCTCTGTTCTCCTATTCTGCAGAATCTGTTAGTTCAATCTCTAACCTTCTGCTCTCTCTGCTTTTCCTCAGAGTAGCTTTGCCTCGTCTGTTCCTGTTTGGCTGTGACGTCATCCTGGAAAGAAACATCAGCTGTGCTGCTTCTATCAACACCCTTGTTTATAGATGTTGGAGATCGGCCTGTTTTCCAGTGTGGTCCTGTTTCTCTGACCGTGACTGAGTGGATGTGCTTTCTTCGTCCTCTGGCATGGGAGCTGCCTTGGAGCTCGTCTGCCTGGCTGTGTGTTTCCTGGACGGGGCCGCCTTTTACAGCTGCTTTTTGTATCTCTGCTTCTGTCTCCTTGAACCCCAGTCGGCCTCGGCAGATGGCCGCTCACACTGAGCCTGGTTCTGCTGGAGGTTTCTTCCTGTTAAAAGGGAGTTTTTCCTCTCCACTGTCGCTACAAGCATGCTTAGTGTGGGGGATTGTATTTGAGTCAATGAGTCAATGCAATCAACTGGTTTTCGTTAGATAGAAAACTTTGTATCAATTTGATCTGGTTGAACTGTAAAGTGCCTTGAGATGACATGTGTTGTGAATTTGGCGCTATATAAATAAACTGAATTGAATTGAATTGAATATAGCAATCACAAGTGACAGCAACCTTGAAAAGAAGGAACACAAGGGCCAAAAGAGATACTAAAATGCTTGGACAAACAGAGTAGAAAGAGGCTCAGTGGAAGCAGTAGTCATTGCAGCACAAATATTCACAAAACTGTAAAAAAAAAAAAAAAAAACTTCTTTAATTTATTATTATTACTATGGGAAGTTCTTTTCTTTTTTCATTTTTTTTTTTTGGTTTGGGTGAGGTTAAGTAGTTTTAAGAAACAATGAGTGATTGTCAGTTCTCCATTTCACATTATGACTAGACATTTTAGAAGGTATGCAGCTGACATCTCTTTTAGAAAACCACACCTACCATTATAAAGCCTATAACAGTTTTTTTAATAAAAGCTTGAGCCTTAGTGAACTCTTTCTCTTCATTCATCAACCTCGAACTAGAAGCACTGCTTCCTCTCTCTAGATATATGTAAAGGCCACAAAGCTCCTCTTTCACCTTGTTACTCACCAAAAAACAAAACAAATGTGAGCCAATTACACACCACACAGTTTGTCCATGTTCAGAGACAGTCTGCTTCAGATAAAAGTTAAATCTGAAACCAAAGGAGAGGACAAAGATAGCCAAACGGAAGATTGTGATCACTTACAAAGTAAGTAAGAGTGTATTTAAAAAATATGTTATCATTTTTAACATCTCTCAAACGTTAGATTTTAAAATCTTCAGTTTGTCACGATTATTGCTTTGAAGATAGCTTGACAATTAATGATGGCGGCATTACTAAATGAAAATAATCTTAAGATTACATTTAAACTGGAAGCTGAGCGGCATGCACATGTTTTATGACTAATGATTGGTGACGTTTAAACGCCACTCTTTGCTCAGTTCTCAAACAGTGAGGTCTGGAAGTTTTTGTTATTTTGCTCTGCACCCAGTTCTCTATGCCTGGTGTAAAAATAAAAATGAGCTTTCATTCAGCATAGTGGTGGTTGACAAATAGAAGCAAAATCTTTTGTCATATTAAATTCATATCCCAGGAAAGATGAAGTCATTGATTAATCATAACAAGTTCCAAGAAATCATTGTTTATTAAGAACTTCTTGACAAAAAATGACTTATTGAATTTGACCTCCAATAATGATACCATGGATAATTCTGATGATATATCTTACATGCCCACATTGAGAAATGTACTCAAACTAAACAAGTAATTTCTTTACATTATTCTGCATAAGCACACTGACATTTTTATTAAGAGATCCATATGATGTGGCCAGCAAAATTAGATATCAATGAGTGAAAATACTCACTTAAGAAGTGTTGAATAAACAGTAGAATTTGTAATTTTTTACTGATTTTAAACCATCAGTTCTCCCATTGTAATAATTGGAAAACACCCAACAACAAATTAATACAAGTCTATAATAGACACATTAGAATTCAGAAAACACTGCAAAGGTGAATGACTATGCAATGACAGGGTACGTTGAGTTTCATGCATTGGCATGGCTATAAGATGCCTGCAACTCAAACATCTCTGACACATCTCTGAAGAAAACTGCAGAATACAGAGAGCTGCATAGTCTCTGTTACCCAGCAGGGTGCTTTATTGCTGGGTTTGGAAATAAAACATAACAATTGTAGGCTGGGTGTGTTGTATAGCCCCGGTATATCTTCACATCTGTTTTCTCTTGTCCATAATCATGCCTAAGAGTACACAAACATCAATTACACTGGAGCAAAATCCATATCTTCCCAGCTGACCGGCCATGACGTCAGTAGCAGACAGGTGTCTCCCCCTGATCTCCCTCGCACGCCTAGTAGATCTATCTGTGTGCCTGTATGTGTGTGAAAAAAACAACCACACAGGGGTGTGTTCTAGCCAACCATTTTGCTGTTTTCAAATTGTAAAGAAATGGTAAAAAACAGCAAAGATGAGGTAAATAGGAAAAATACAGTGCTATAATACAAAGTGTTTTGTTATCCATCCCTAAAAAATTATTATTGTTTTGGCTACAAGTGGGGGTATCATTAGAAAACAGAATTTCATCCTGCCCTTTGCCAACCACCTTGATGGAAATTCTGATTCAATGTTCCAACAACACTTGACCACTGTTCATTCCAACAGTACCAAGAACTAGTATCTAGATCTTGACTATGTATTAGTGTACTTAAAAACCAACTGAACTAACCCCCTTAGCAATTCTATAGACTGATCACATCCTTTCAAATTGGCACTCATGCAGCGATTCATAGATGGGTCAAACTTTTTAGCAGGCTGATGCCACTTTAGAATCCTATAGAAACAATAATTGAATCACCTTGCGATTTTTTAGAATATGTTAGTTTTAACAGTTGAATTTAATTCCTGAAATAAATGAACATTTCGATAAAATTCTGCTTTTTATGCCCCATCCCCTAGAGGCCAAAGTCTGGCATATTTAGATGTGTCCTACCTGGTCACACCTAACTCCTTAGCATGCCAAAAAGTTCTGAAGAACCCCTGTAAATAGCCTATTATTTAAATCAGGTGCTAAAAAAGGATAAAACATAACAGGTAGGGTGATCAGGGCTGAGGAACTTTTTCCTTCTGGTTTTAAGATCCTTGTCATGAATCAATAACAATGTTTTCTGCGTATTTATAAACTATAGATCCAGCTCCTAATAAATACAATGCCAAGACACTTTAGGAGACAAATAGCTAGATTCTATAGAAATTTTATCAGTTCAGTGCATTCCATATTAATGCATTTGGTTTACATTGAAAGGTTTATATTCTAATCCATCCAACTTAAACTATTTAAACTGATTTGAGTGGTTAACAAAGATCCTATACATGGTGTCCATGAATTACCACAAATTTGGCTCGATGTAATATTAAAGAGTCCGACAGCAGTACTTAGAATCATATGCTGCGGAGGTCTTCATCAGGGGGTCCACGACCCCTTGGGGGTCCACAGAGGTACTTCAAGGGGGGTCTTGAAAATGATGGTTGGTTAGACTTTTTCTTTATATTCCCTCCTACATTTTTTTTTTCACTTATTGAAATGTCTTTAAAAAGCCCTTGACATGAATTCAACACACTGTCGTAAACGGATAAATGGAGGCAGAAGATGTCTTTCAGTCATCAATGCACACATTCAGCGACACACAGGAGCTCTTTCAAGCAGGGCACCATTTCATTCACAACACCTGTCTCATCAATGAGGAATCAGAATAAAATACTTTAATAATCCCAGGGCAAAATAGAGTGACTATAGGACCAGTTTGATGTAACACAATTTCATACAAAATATATATTTAGGAAGTCCCCGCTCCATCTTGCCATCAGTTTGGGGGTCCTTGGGCTGGAAAACGTTAAAGACCCCTGACATACTGTATTCTTATAAAGCTCTGTGGGCATTTTACTATTACATTTAAAATTGGGCTTGTTCTTGAATGTTCACGTTCACTCCATAAATTTCTTAAATACCAATTCTGACAAGAACAAATGTGAAATCTTGCAACTCCTTTTACATTTGTTTCCCTTTTAGCATGCCCTGCAGGTCCTGTCCCTCATCTGGAGCAGCTGTGCCTCTGTCGGACTGAACCACCCCCTCTCTACTTGCGAACCCATTCTATGTTCACGCACCCCCTCCCCACTCTCTCTCTCTCTCTCTTTCTGCTGGAACGCATGTCCAGGGATCACACTCACGCTTTCTCCGTCTTTGCTGCTGCAGAACGGACCGCAAAGCTTCTGGCTGCTGCTTCTTCTTTTTCCTCCCTCCTCATACCAGGACTCTGAACGTGGTAAGAAACAATAAATATGGCTTAATATTCTCTCTGCATGTGTTCAATCTAAATGCTTGCTGAGGGGTTTTTCTTCACTTGTGGGACGCGCACCTGAGAGTGACTCGGATGTCGCCACGTTGGCCGGCTTTGGGTTGAAAAAAATAAATAAATCAGAAACCAAAGCATCTATTTGGTTCTATACTCAGAATCCCATAGTTGCTGCCTGGACAGTCTGACCCAGATGGTTGCACTCATAATATAATAGAGATCCAGAGGATGAATAGAACAACGCAAAAGAAGGAGTGAAGAGTAAGCAAAAGGCGTGGTGAGATTGGGGTCTAATTGTTGCAGGTCCTCTATATTACCAGCAGTGGAGCGTCAAAAGGGTAGTTTGGCACACTGTATCCACAGCTATGCTACGCTGTGGTGGGCAGGACAGCTGTTGAACAGAGGGACTGCGCTGGTGAGATCAGCATCACCTTTAGATGGGATCCATCTGTTTGCGGATCAGGAGATTCCGCGTTGATCCGCTTAGAGCAGGGAGGTGCAGGATGCTGGAGCTGATCGGTGCCAAACACACAGAGACAGCTGCTGATTCTCAGTGTGCGCGCGCGCGCGTGGGTCGTGGGCGTCTATTTATTGCCATCTCAATGACTGGGTCTGCGAATGGGATTGGGGAAAGTGATAGGATGTGCAACAGCCAGTTATTTCTGTTTGAAGAAGCGTGCGTGTTTGAGTTGTTCATTCCATATCAAAGTGATTGATGGTATATTTTCTACCTAAATAAAAGGTATGGTAACCATTTTGTTCTTTCCTTGCGCAAGACAAACTTAACTGGAAGCCAAACAGTTAGAAACCCAAGGATCTTTAGGAAAGAGGAATCAATTGAAGGGGTGAGGTTGCGTCAGGAACTATGTGAGAGTAGAGAGATGGCGCCCTACGCCAGTGCTTTTCTGAGTTATTTGATTTATCGCCTCTCCAATGCGCACTGACGCACAAAGCTCTGGGAGCCCCGCTTTTAATACTTGTCATCTCACCAACCGATGATGATCATGTCTGAACTGAAGGCCAGTGACCTATAATGGCCACCTGGAGCACGCCTTTTAACTCAGACACGATTCGCCCCCCCCACACACACACCCTCTACTGTCATAACCCTGGCGGCCCCAGGGGCCAAACACACGGTTTAGTCATGACTGATCATTGCCACCGCGAATGCTCATCATGACTGATTAAATTTGACGAGCGAGCCAGTGGGCATCCAGTAGAGATATGTAGTCACTTAGGGATTGGGATTTCATTTCTGCCTCAGAGTCCCACCACAAGTTGTAAAAACTCGTTTATGCATCTCATTGTGATTGATGTGAACATTACTCATTCGGCTGTGCAGTACAGGAATAGTGGAGGACATAGCAGCACAGCAGGGATGTGGGCCAAGTCTTAAAGGTTTCACAGGAAATGGTGTGGATATGGATGGATTATTATTATTTTTTTTTAATAAGAAATGTCATTAACTAGTGAGGTATTAAAATATTAATTTTTAATATATAAATATATTAAAAAGTATGAGCCCCTGGGCTGAAAGTAGATGCACAGTTTCATCCAACATCAATATGGTAAAAGTATTTTTCTAAAAATAAAGTCAATCACATTTATACCATCTTATCGTCTTTACAACACTGCATCACTTTATATCAGGAATTCAAATCCTGTACTTTTTGGCCGCAGCCCTAACAAATAGAGATTTATAACAACTGCATTTATGGAAAAAGATATTAGAAAACTTTGTCCTCAAAAACAGTGGTTATAAAAATTAAGTAATAACTCATGTCTGTATCATGTGAATGGCAGTACAATACCAAGGATGCATTGAGTTATTTTAATCATTACCAAGGAAACCTTCATAATGGCCAGATCTCAGCCCCTAAGTTAAACTCTTATTAGCTACTTTTCTTATCTTTTTAACCAATCGTAACATTGGTTGTTGCATACAAACAAAGACAAACGCAATGATCTAATCGTCTTTTCTACGACTTTATCTTTTAATTTTTCAGCCTGCAAAACTAGCAACCAAGAATAGTTCAAGCTGAGATTTTTATATTTGAAATAATTTTCATTCATCCAAAAAGTTATCTCTGCCAGATAATGAGACAGTCATCTTATCATACTTTTTAAAATTACACTGAAAATCCATAGATCATTCCTGGTCAGTTAGTAATTTTAACATTTAATCTTTGTTGGTAAACTCTAAAAGTGTGGGGTTGAAAGGCCGCCTTTCCACCAGCCATCAGCTTAATCCTTTGTGTCCTACAAAGATCAGATTGTTGAAGGTGGTGCTCTGACTGGGTCATTTAAAGATGCTCATTTTACTTAGCATCAGGAGTAACATGTTGGTGAAATTAAAAGAGTATTTCAAGCCTAAATCAGCTATGGGTGTGAACAAATTCTGACTTAGCCATATGCTTAACACCTACAGTAATCATATTCCATTTTTGAAGGAATTAAACAATAACTTTTTTTTAATTCTTCATTCCTTTATTATAATGCTGCTTTATATTTTGGGTTACTTCTTCTCACTTCTTGTAGAAGAGTTTAGGTCTATTCTTTAGTCTATTCATATAGCACCAATTCACAACACAAATGATCTCAAGGCAATTAACAAACACTACAAATTAAATCATAAGGAACGAAATGCAACATATTTAGTCAAATGAGAGAAAAAGTGGCCTTTTTCAAGTCCGAAGGACAGGATTTTAAAAAATATGCACCTGTCAGACCTGCAGTCTCTAGTTTACGTACCAGCAAGCATTCACTCCTAATCACAGTAGAAAAAGAATGTGGATGAGACCCGAATGGTAGAGACCTTTTTTTTTTTTTATAGTGGATGTCTAAAGCCTGTTACATACAACACGAGAAGGAGTTTTTATTTCTTCCGCTCTCACAGCTGCTTGAAGAAAATGACGTAATTTTCTTCTCACGGCCCTGTCCAAGGGTTTCTCGCTACTTGTTCAAGAGCTGGGCAGAATTTTTTTCTCACAGGGTCTCTGAGAACAGTTATGAAATTGATCAGGATTTGAATTGGTGTTGTTAATATGAAAAGTTGACATGATTATCCCCTCTTGTTTTTCGGCAGACATTCAGTCATAATTTCAGAGGTGGAGCTATACAGTAATCTGTTATATGATAGATAGTTGGAGGATTGTCTAGCAGAGGTAGTGAGAAAATATCAACATTTGTATGATAGGCCTATATCTTTTAAGTAGTATAAAGCATTTATATCATGCTCTCCCCTCCTTTTTTCTTCTAAAAATGCCCCACTGCTGTGGTTTTTTTTGTGGGTGTGGATTAGGATGAGCATTGTTGAGTAAGAAAATGCTGAGATGACTTTCTGCTCTTGTTTTCCAGTCGGATAATATTTCAGTTGTGGAAATCTGTACAGTGATCTGTTTTGTACAGTAATAGAGAGCTTGTAGAGTGGCTTTAAAGGTAGTGAGAAAATCTAAACATTTGTTTGATATCTCTTTTAAATGACATAAAGTGTTTGGCTGTTCCCCTTCTTCTTATCAGCCTGAAAAATAAATTCTTCGCTATTGCGTTGCTGTTATGTTTTCTTTTTCAAGTGTGACGTAACCTCTAGGATGGAGGTCTTCAACAGGGGGTCTTTGATCCTTAGGGGGTCCACGGTGGTACTACATGGGGGTCGCAAAAGTTTTGGTTAATTAGACTTTTTTATTTTTATATTCCCCCCTGCAATCTTTCCCACTAATTGAAATGTCTTTAAATACAAATTAACATTAATTCACACTGTAGTAAATAAATATAAGGAGGCAGTCATCAATGCACACTATAGACTGACACAGGAGTGGATTTTCACTCCTGTCCTGTCCCACTCCCACAGAAAAAAATTGTGTCCCTTCCAGATCACGGGCCAGAGTAGAAATCTAAATCGTGTCCCATCCCACTCCTGGTGAAATTACTCCCACTCCCATCCCGCTCCCATTCAGAATGACTCCTGCACCACTCCCATTCTTGTTGTCTTTAATAAGATTTCTGCCAATCCATTGAATCTGAATTTCTTTTGAGCGCGGGTGAAAAACTCAGAGCAGAAGCACTGTTGGTTTTTGGGTCGTGTAGTTTTTTTGACTCGCATTATAGTGTAGGCTTCAAGAAAAAAAAAACTACAGAATGGCGACGCCAGTACTGGATTTTTTTTCTTTCTATTTTATTTTATGGCATCGATCCTATTTTTTTTTAGTTACTATTGGTTTGCTACCGCTCCCATCTGCTCCCGTTAATGTTTAATCCTGTACCGTCCCAATCATGTGATCGTTACTAATAGTGACTCCCATCCCACGGGAATCTCAAGGGAATCCCTTGACCTGTGGGGTTCCCGAAAAAATGTCAGTCTCTAACGCACACATTCAGTGACACACAGGAGCTCTTTCAAGCTTGGCACCGTTTCATTCACAACACCTGTCCCATCAACCAGGAATCAGAATCAGAAATACTTGATAATCCCAGGGAGAAATAACTGTCGTTACTTTACTCCACATGTAACAGAGTGACTATAGGACCAGTTTGATATAACACAATTTCATACAATATAATTGTATGATATATAATATATAATTAGGTGGTCCCTGCTCCATCTCACCATCAGTTTGGGGGGGTCCTTGGCCTGGAAAACATTGAAAACCCCTGCTCTAGGGGATGGGACTTTCTATATTTTTGGCAGATATATGTTTCTTATTCCTGTCACCTCAAGAGCAGGAACAAATTTCTTGTTTCTTTGGAAGTGTGTAACAAGCCTAAGTCAAGTCATAAGTCCCGTATTAGGTTTTTATATTTAGATGCAATTTAGTCACCGAGATAGAACAAAACGAAAGGCAATGTGGAGCATGTATCTCAAGCTTACCATCTTACCTGACATGCTTTAGGCAAGTGGCTTGGTAAGAGGTGGGAAAATTATGTCATTGGTATTACAAGGTTGCAAATTAGTTACTTACGAAGCAAAGTAA